TATATATATATATATATATATATATATATATATGGTTTTTATACAATAAACAAAGAATTTAAATTCCTCCACCACTTTCTTATCAATCTTAATCAACAGCGGGGAGAACAACCAAAAGCTCGTCAAAAGCATAAACCCCACCGTCAACAGCCGTGCAACAACTGACGACAATTCAAATTTTCAAGCCACTGCTCTCTTCACCTTAAGCTTCACGATGAGACAGATCCCAAGGAGAACAAAAAATGACATCTCCAACGTGGGACTCGCACATGTCACATACTAAAACAGTAGTTCGTGCATCAGATCGAGGACGAGAAAAGTCACCATGACCCATAATTGCTAGAACCGTGACCCAGTCCTTCGCCGGAAACACAGGCTTCACAGATTTATTACCCATGTATTTTATCTTTTAAAAGTTCGATAAAATATGAGAAGACAAAAATGTCCCTTGTTTAACGGAAATTTTTATAGAGTTAAAAACATGGCATATAATAAAGTGTCCCATGTGATCAAGTTGGACAGCGCACATGCATATTTGAGAGGTTTGAAAAGTCAAATTAAAGCAACGCAAAGTTTGAAAAAAAAAGCATATAAGAAAGCTTTCATCACTATCCATAAAATCGTATCTTCTCAACCAATAAATGAAGTCATAAATAATTAATATTTAAAAAATTAAATATCAAACCAAATTGGTGAAATTAACTTGGATTGCAATGAGGGGACGTTAGATCCAATTGCTTATCCGATAAGTGTTTATTTATAGAAGTCAACATTATTTTGATGCGTAAGATGTCAAAACATATCGAATGCAACAATTTAGTGAGTAAACGCTTACATGGGTAAGAGTCGTCATTTTCACTTACCGGGTAAGACTTTTCATCATTCTCATCGCTCTTATCCGGTAAAATTCTTGACCCTTCTCATGTTAATCCGATGAGGAAATTTATCCGGTAAATACTTACCAAGTAAATGTTTAGTAAACGGCCTCTTAATCATCAAAATAAAATATTTAAAAAATAACATTTTTTCCTATAGTTTTAAAATTATAAAATGGTCATCTTAATTTGTAAAAATGTTCAGATAGATCCCTCTATCCAAGGATATTTTCGTCACTTTATAGATTTTTTTTTGTCTTTTATCCGTTCAAAATCTGTTTTATAATTCTGATCGTGTCGTTTTTGATTGAATAAAAGACAAAAAATGATAATAAGACAAAAATGCCTTTCATTTAACAAAAATTTTGATGACTGTTAAAAAAAATTCAAATTCAAATGTTTTTACAAACTACAACCAGTCTTATCTATACTATGTTATAAAACATTTAACAAAAACTTTTAAAAACTATTTTTTATGCATAAAGTAAATGTTTATTGATGCATATTACTTAAAATTCAAGATTAAGATGTTTTTACAAACTACAACCAGTCTTATCTATACTATATTATAAAGCATTTAACAAAAACTTTTAAAAACTATTTTTTATGCATAAGGTACTGTTTATTGATGCATATTACTTAAAATTTAATATTACAAGTAATTTTTCGTAAATACAACTTATTAAAGTTTCATTTTTAAATTCGTGTAACTAATTACAGATAAACATAATTAAATATAAGATAAACATTCATTTTAAATATATAAAATCTAAAATATAGTTAATATAATTATTTAGTTCTA